AATGGCATGCCTCATCTATAAATACATTTTTAAACTTATGTTCACCCAATCCTGATAATTTCCTCATAAACTTTTTTAGGGCCTTTCTACCTATTGATGTCTTTTACCACTACCATTATTGTTATTATCTTTGTTTTTCATCTGTTAAGATACAATTTTTCTTTGGATTTTACTACTAATATATTCAACTAAATTATGTGATTAAACTTTCTGTTTTATTAATTTATTATACTTTCAATGAATGTACACAAGATCTTTAACAACAGTGGCCTTACCTGGAATGGCTTGCATTTTCCTCGGACCATCTTGCATGCCTTATAGCTGCTAATGATGCTTGCATCATTTTTTGCGGTACTGTAGAGAAAGTCAAATAAAATTTACAAAATATTTAAAGGAATACTTCAACTAATACTAAAAACTACATGAAAAAAAGATAATTTCACTTCCAAAGCCAGTAATCAGAATTAGTTTATAGATGGCCATCTGCAGTCTCAACTAATAGCTTTGAAAATTATCTCTCAAAAAATTATTATGGAATATAGTTTATAGAATGTTATTAGAAGTCTTTAAATACCTTGCTCACTATCGCTTTTTTATGTTTTAATGACATTAAAATTCAATTGAGTTTCTCTTGAACTGGTTTGCTTTCATTTGAGTGTTTGCAATTTTTGCTTCTGTCATCTAAATCTCACAATTCAGTTTTAAACTGCCAAAAAATTAATTGTTTTCCCACTTTTTTTAAAAATAAAAGATAGCTTGATTACAGTTTTGACTCTGAATATTCATCTTTAAAAAAAACACAGAATTATAACTGCACACTACATTAAACACTTGCAACACCACACTCCATACTTAAACAACATCATTCAAAATTTTGCTCACCATACTGTAGCGGCACTATATATTCTGAGGCTTTACCGACTTTTCAATTACGGTTGTCTAAATATTAACTTACGATGCATGTCGGGATCCAGCTTCTTCAGGTTTGATGGAATGGTAGTGACTATAATCTTAACACTGGCGTCCGATGAGCTTATCTCACAACCAGCCTCTGTTGGTAACATTGTCATCACCTCGTTTGGGTCTAGAGCCTTCACTCCTTCAGTGATCTTCTGACCAAGTGCTTCCACAGCCTCAACTGCAACCATCGTCAAGATAAATATTATAATTTAATATTATTTCATATTCTTATAGTTCATTATTATCATTTGCAGCCCAGCTGCATTCTTTTAAAAAATTATTGATATAAATAATATATTTAAGAGTAATTCTATCCAATTTTAATGTGTTTTTATTATGTTTATGTTTCTCAATCAATCCACTGGACAGTATTTTAGTATAATGTTCGCAATCATGTCCAGCCAATTTACAAAACCTGTATTATTTTTCCCCCAGTTTTTTAATATTCAGAAATCTGTATCTGCTTAACCGTTTCCGAGTTTTTCATCAAAATATGATTTTTGTGTCTTAGAAAAATCAGTTGTACATCGTATCAAAATATTAATTTTTTTCTCTGGAGCCTTTTAGCTTTAAGACAAAATAAATAAAATGAAAAACTCTGGGGTTATACTTGGACTTAAAATCAAGCTGGACTTACAATTAATAGTAAAATACACTAATAATAAATAGCGATTTAACGTTACCTGTCGGAAGGGTACGAAGAACAACTACTAGGTCTGCCACAACGTTACTGGCCATCATCGTGCCTTTCTTATGGGAACCAACTTGCTTCACGTCATCCACTTGCTGCCAAAATGAATATTAACAATTTGCATACATTAACAGATAACAAATTCCATGGTATTATATGTCAGAAGTTCCAAGTAGCAAGAAGTCATTTCTGGAAGATCTGTTTAAACTAGCTTTGTTATCGCATCTAATTTTGTTTTGCTATGTCTTAGATGACACAGTACCAATCAACACTGACTTCTATAAGACAAATAATAATGAAGGGGTAATACAAGAATGCAGAATTAACAATTTTCAGATGGTTCCCTTGATATGTTGCCAAGCCTTCTATCTTTGTCCAATTAGAACATGCTATTCTTTAGGCTTGCTTTCAGTCCTTCAAAGAAATATTTAGCTTTTGGTACATCGGATGTGTAATATAAATATTTTTTATATAGTATGGATTTTTATAATTATACAAGGAACAAAAATATTGGGAGTAATTGAGTGGAAGCAGTTACTGTATATTCAATCTTTAAACCAAATCTAATGTAAATTTTCTGGTACCAAGAATAGCTGTACTGTATTTGTGTGGGGCTGTCTAGCTATTTTTCACATACATAAGGCTATGACTAGATTTCTAAAACCCACAATCCCAACTAACTACTAAGCAATTAGTAGAGCTCTGCATAGTACACTATAGGAAAATTATTCTACGAAGGTTAGATTTACTGCTTGAAAAAATTTCCTGAGGGCCTGCAACGCCCGAAGGAAATTTTTGAATGCATTAAATCTAACCTAAGTATAATAATTTTCCGTTTAGTGTACGATGCATGCTCTACTAATTGCTTTATAAGTCAATCGCCGTCTTTTAATTTTAGTTTTTTATAACCAACTGTTGTAGCAGTCATTGGTTGCTATAGTGATATGATCAGTATACGTGTGCGTATTTACATTTAGCTGTGCGCATGCTGATTTTTGCTCCTGCAGTACACGTTTAACTCATCTAACATTAGCAGTACGGATACGATGAATAGCTATTGTGTTAGAGAGAACTTGTTTGTAATGCTATATTGATAGACTTTCGTCAAACAAATAAACATTTCAGCATTCGAGAGGGAATACAGTCACTGACGTCCTTTTTGGTCGGAGCATGCAGACAGGTAAAATCATGCGATGATTTCATAACTAGGCCAGGCTACGGCCTATGCCTAGTAATAGCAGGAGGAGGTCTGGGCGGCCTGTATGGTCGTAGGCCTACACTGTACATCTAAATTTGTTCCTTGAGTCTTTAAAAAG